TTATTATATATATATATATATATATATATATATTATTATGAATTAGTTAAATCACTTGTGATCATGTAGTTGTAGGTATCGAATTCTTTTTTTTAATAGTTGAGAAAGGAAAAATAGAAATAAGACATATGTACACATAGATTGTCTTTTCACTTGAAAGCAATTTTTTTGGTCTAATTTCACTTTCATATCCTTCTTTTAGATTGCAAATTATCTATGCATTCAGAAAATAAAATATTACATCAAATCATTCTAATTTTTAAGTTGGAAGTCACTGATGGCATAATCTATCGGTACTTAAAAGTAGCGTCTCAATGAGAGTTTTTTCCCCTCCACAATAATATAATATCAAAACTAGTAAAAGAGGACGAACTTCATCCACTTGGACGAAATTCATGTCCCCCTACCTAGACGTACTTTGATTAAATTTTGAAAAACTTCGAGATTACCGAGATTCTCAAAAGTTGAAGGGTCAAAAGCCTAATCAGGTCCCCTAGATGGTGAAGTTGTTATCGACTGTTAACCAAAATCGAATTATTTACATGAGGAATAGAGAAAATTGCGAAAAAAAATTGAACAATTATATAATATTAGCCTTATGCACCACATTGTAGAAATAAATAAATTCCAAACAATTTGATTACTATAATTACAAAGTGCTAAACTTAGGTTATTTTTACATTTTTTTTCCAGCTTATTGCTTATCTATAATTAGATCAAACAAAACAAAATTTTGTGTAATTAGATGTACTTATTTGTAAAGGAATGAACTGTATGTCCTTTATAATATCTTATAAATATATAATATATATAGCATGTACGAATCATAGAGGATTAATATATATTTTTGAAAGATGAACCAGTCTTTTATATTACTCTTATCAATATAAAATATATATCATATCAAAAATAAATCATTACAAAGCCAAATAGGTGTTGACCACCTATTTTGAAAAAATTTAAAAACACCACAGCTTAATAATGAGATTATAATTTGTTTAGATAATCCAAACATGTTGGGGTGTAATTAATGAAGAGCTTGCATGTGTAAATGAGTTTATTAAAGTCATTACTAAATAGTTTAAATGAATTTTTAGTTTTTGATATGTTTTTATTTTTATATTGTGTATATATATATATATATTAATTTTTTTTAAAAAAAAAATACAATATCTTAGGACGAATTGAGATTTCATTTCTATCAGATGAAAATCGCAGATTCAGAAGTTGAGTTATTTCATTATTTCAAATCACGAGATAAAATCGCATGGTTAAATGAACACTTTTTTTTTATTTGAATAAGTTTTAATCATTAAGGTCTTGAATATAGTCTTAATATAATTAAGAGATTTTTTATGTGAATAATTTTCATCACCGTATGTTTTCCAAATCACCTGGCATCACTATTAACTATCTTTGACATAATAATTATCACCAACATTATTAATTATCATTGATGTCAATCACATGCCATCATCCGTGGCGGAATCAAAATTTTTAATAAGGGGTTCAAAAATCGTAGAAATAGACACACGAAGTAGTCAAAGGGGACCGACATCTACTATGTATACATAAAATATTATTTTAACTATATATAAATAGTATAATTTTTCGTCGAAGAGGGTTCGGATTAACCCCTTTGTACCAAGGTGGCTTCGCCCCTGGCCATCACCATCACATTCGCAATCACAACCACTATTAGCAACAAATACTACTACTAACCAATATTGTCAGTCGTTACCATACCTACCATCTCCATCATTATAACAATGTTCACTGCACACTATATATCAACCACAATCACTACAACCGATCTCTACTATCAACCACTTTTACTATCATATTATCAACAATCCACATTTTTCATAATATCATACAACAATTTATTAACATCAAACAGTTTCAACATTACAACCAACACTATTAATAGCCATCATCACACCAATAACTGCAACACTAACTATCTCTGCTATCACAACTATCATCACCACCATTACTAACTTCTAATAATGACAGAATCAAATTTTCCACTAAATAGTCTAAACTATGAAGAACACACGAAAAAGTTGAAGAAGGTTCAACATCTATGTTTACAAATAAAGAAGACATTATGTATATTCACATATTTAACGTTCAGTATTCAAATTAAGAACCAATGCATTTAGTCATTCAGATACACATTTAAATTCAAACATTGCGATCATTTATAAAAAATGTTTTGATATTATTAAAATATTTTTTTAAAAAAAAGACGAGACTTGGGTGGCTAGTTTTAACAATTTACTTGAGGAGTCAAATTTTGCTCTTTTCACTTAACCAAACAAAAAAAGTTCAAGCCGTGAATCGGTGAGTGTGACACTAAAAATGATGAACATATTATTATCATCAATTCATTTCCTCTTTAGTTTGATCTTTTTCCCCCCTTTTTACCTAAAATCTTATCCTCAAAGCTTTGTCAAATTGTATTAGCAGTTGTAAACTTCACACAGTGAATAGTAGTTAGTGTACCATACAGCTGCATTCTTGATTTAGGGAGTTGGGACCAACATTTTATTGCCCTTTCCCCCTATTTCTCACTTTCTCTTTCTTGTTGCCTCTTTCTTAGGTATACCCTTTTGGTTTTTCACCTCAAAGAACCTTGCTTCACTGTTGTATTTCTGAATGTTGCCAGAAATGGGGTCAGAAGGATCATCAAGGGTTGTAGGTAAGCATCAAAATCTTGGAAAAAGATTGGATTTTTATTTTCAGTTCAAGTTTGGGGTGGTAGATCTTTGTATAACTCTTTTGTCTTGTTGTTCAAAAGGGGTCTTTTTTTTTTTTTGGATTCATGGGGTTAACAATTTTTGTGCTGTTTAAACTCTTTATGGTATTTGGGAATAGGGTTTCTTTATTGGTTTTGTTCAGATTAGGTTAAGTGAGTTGGCTGATGATTGCTGACATAGAAAGTTTCAATTTTTAGTCCTATTGGATGAATTTGGTGTACACTTTTATGGGAAAGTTGAAGTTTTTGTTAACAGAAATGCTTGCCAAATTAAGGTGAAGTTATTAGCTGAATTGATGCAAATTTTGGAAGTTCTGTTTCTATAAGAAACTATTGATAAGGTTACTACGCTGTTGTAATCTGTAGCTGTGGTTTACTATCGGGGTGGTACATGTCCCGTTACCTTGGGTGTTTGGGGCTTAATCGATTGTGGAGGTCGAGTTTCCTTTCTTGACTTGCTACTGCTTCTGTGTATGTGTTGTTTGTTTGGCTTCTTTTGGAAATTGAAATCTAACTTCAGAGAGAGTTTAATGTATCTGAGATATGGATGGTTAAAAAATGTGGATGTAAAGAAGGGAATATAATTTATAAGTTATGACATACCACATTAAAAGATCCATCCCATGTCAACCATAAATATAACCTGTCAGAGATATCGAACCTTCCATACTTGTGAGTGGAAATCCAATTCCATTTTGGAATATTTTCATCAGGGATTGGATCGACTATGTTGCAGTGGAGGAGAGAAGGCGAACCAACTTTATTTGGTTGCTTCTCCCGTCTGGTTGAGTAGCGTTCGCTCCTTCCTTCGCACTTTATTATAATGTAAACATACTCTGAGAACCCACGATTCTTTCACAAATTATCTTTTTTTGTGAATTCGACATCAGTGATCTATGGCCATCCTTTCTTTTTTCCATTCCTAAAAGGAGTAGTTGGATGATAGGTGCTAAGTCCAGTCTGGACATCGTTCCTTTCTCCTCTAGCTGCTTGAGGGTAAATATTTGAATGTGTTGGGTGGGAACTAGTATAAGACAACATGAGGCAAAATGAAGTAGCTATGTAAAAGCAAATGCTTTTATTGTAATTAGGAATAACTAACAGCTACTTTTCATCCATAGCAGAGAAGCTATCAAAATGAATAGAACTAAACACTGACTTACATTTTCTTGATTAGAGTATGGGTGATTGGCTCGAAAAATATTACTTCTGTGGCTCCAAATGAGGAGTAATCTTCTCTAACCCAAGAGTGGAAAATAAGACCTTCATCTATGGAGATGCCCGAGGTTCTAATCTTGGTTCCAGTTTGAGTTTTCTGTTTAACTTGCTTGCATCCTTAATTTAATGCTGATAATTGTGCTAAACACGTAACCAGTTATCTTTATTAGCTTCCTAGAAACAACTACTTTCACGAGAAAGCTGTTGGCCATCTCGTCATTTATATAAGGCTAACGGTAAAAGGGGAATATTAAAGTTAGTTTGTTTCTAATTATAGTAAGGTGACATTATTTTTTGGGACGGACTGAAAAGGAATGGGTGCCACATAAAATGGGACGGAAGGAGTATTAATTTTCCTTAGACATTCAATGCTACCTCGCAGTGTAATGAAACTTAGCCTAACACTACCCCTTTTGTTGCTCTAAACTGCATAATATTACAATGAAATGACATTGTTCAGTAACTGTCTTTATTCTTTTTCAAGGAAGCTGTTCTTAATGCACTACATTCAACATACTATATCAGCATGTTTTGAAATCTTCACCTGATAATATTTGTGCTCATGTCCAGTCCCAAGGAATTTCAGATTATTGGAGGAGCTTGAAAGAGGAGAAAAAGGAATAGGGGATGGAACTGTCAGCTATGGGATGGATGATGCAGATGACGTGTACATGCAGTCATGGACAGGAACTATCATTGGCCCTCCTAATGTAGGCTTGCTTTATCAGTTCTTTCATGTTTGTGCTTGTGACTCTTTTTTGCATATGTTCTTGAAGAGACTGATTGTTTTTCCCAAGGATGCAAGTGACTTTACAACTATATATTTGCACGTAGACATTGTATTTTGGATTTTGGACCTAAATGTTAGGAGGAGAACTCTCATGTTGACATCTAAAGTATGTTATTACTCATTTACAATGGATACTGAATTCTGTCAATTAAGATAGTCAATTGAAATCGTACCACTCAAGTCGTAGAACAAACCAAAGGTAACAACAGTTTTGAATTCTCTTCCATGAAAAACATAAGTCACATTTTTCAGAGTTTACATGTTATAAATCACATGAATCAATTCAAATTGAGTCTAGAATTAACTGAATTACAGTTTATAGACTTGTATGCATATCTTGGTTATTCTAATAAGTAGTAACTGTTAGCTGTAATGGCAGAATTACCGTTACTGCAGTTAAGCTTCATGGTACTTTGTTCTGCTGTTAATGAAAATATGTTTTTTGATTTTGGTTCTCAGGCTGATCTTCAGTTACCTTTGCTGACTATTTGATCATACCTCGATTTACGATTTTGTTACAGACTTGATTTGCAATTCATTTTTGAGATGTCTTTCCCTGGGTATCCTAAAAACAATACTAAGATAACTGAGAGGAAGGAGACTTAGGGCTGATTATGCCATATCCATGTGCTAAGTTATTGGAGAAAGTTTATCTGGGTTAACTAGGAAAATAAACTACTGCAGGTCCCTTCATTTTGAACAGGATTGTGGCTGCACTAGAAAAAGAACAATAATTAAGAAGAAAGTATGCCATACAAGTTATTGATAAAAAATATGTTCGCAATGAGTTGTTGGATGAAGAGGCAGAGAGAGAACATCCCACTTATGGGATATCAATTTTTGAGTCATAATTATGTATCATCTGCTAAAAAAAGCATGATATACAATGTGTGCACAATGTTGTATTTGAGTCATTATCATTTAGAATCTGCTTAAAGAAAGAGCATGATATGGTGCATGTAATAGTATGTACTAAAATGATTCAGAGTGCAAGAGGAAGGAAGAAGGTAAGCAGTAGAGAAGTAGCAAAAGAACAAGTGGTGGAAAAATAGAGTATAGAAGTCCGTCCTTGAAACAGGATTTTTGAATGTGTCTAAATCATTTATTATCTGTTAAAGGAAAAATGATACAGCACATATATTTTAGGACATCAGAGTCAGCTTTGTTGGTGTATGCTATTGCTGACAATATTGTGCGAACTGACAAAACTAGCAAGAGTGTCAACCAAAAGCTTGAGCTATGTAGAAGCAATCTATAGAGTAGGGTTTTAAGATTTGTAGAAGTAAGAACGACTATATATCCTACAAGTTTAGTCAGCATAAGGAAAATAAAGTTGGGGTGAGTTTAGATGGGGTTGTAGTGCCTAAATGCAAAAAAAGTTGATACATAGGCTTGCCGTTTGAGGAGAATGGAATTGTAGATGAAGATGTTACACTCGGGATCAAATATGCATGGTTGAAATGGAGAAGTGCAACCAGGGTGTTGTGTGATAAAAGGATGTCTATTTAAGTGAAAGATGTTTTGCTGCACAAATTATAAGACCAACAATTTTATATGAGAGTGAGTATTGGGCCACTAAAGTTCAACACATCCACAAGATGAGTGTTACAGGGCTGCGGATCCTAATACGGATATGTGGTAATACAAATTAGACAAGATTTAAAAAAACGACCACATTTTCCAGAAGGTGCAAGTGGCACACATTGAGATAAAACAAGTGAAGATCGCTTAGTTTGGTCGGGTCCTGCCTCGACCTTCATATGCACTAGTCTTTAAATGTCATATCATGGTGAATGAAGTTGTTAAAAAAGGAAAGGTAGGCCTAAAACACATGGAAAGTAATGTCTTGAAAGACCTACAATCTCTTGGAATTCATGCAGACTTACGAAAGATAGAGCATAACAGAAGAACAAAATATACATAGGCAATAGACACTGGTTGAGAATAGATTTTAGTTCTGTTAGTCCTTATGAGGAAAACAAGGTTTAAGTCATATTTTTCGTGATAAGGTTAAAGTTTAATAGTAAAGGTACCATGATGGTACAAAAGACTGCATCATAAGCAGTCAACACCTAAAACAGCAAAGCACCAATTAAAATTTTCCTAACAAATCTAAAAACTCTATATACTGATCCATACTCTCAATAACATCTTTTACACCAAAAGAACAGACTTCGGGGACAAGTATTTTTTATTCCGGATATCAGAGATGTGAGCCCTTCTATTCTCAAAGTGTTGTTCCTCTCCTTCCAGATGGTCCATAAAATGCACAGAGGGATCAGGGATGGTCCTCCTCAGCTGCTTCTGATTCCTTGTTATCTTCTGCCCTTGCCAAAGGTTTTAGTTATGTTAATACATTTAGTTGAGGTCCAATGCTCTCTAGGAGTCTTTTGGCCTAGTAGAGATTTTTTTGCTAGTTGAAAATATAGAGAACTTAAAGTATTTCTATTATTATTATTATTATTTGTATTTTGTATAAGGCTTGTCTAAGATGAATTTTAATTGGATAAACATGATCAATGAGGATTCATATAGCCAGCCCAACTTGTTTGGGACTGAGACATAGTTGTTATTGTTGTATCATCAAGAGCTATTAGTGATCACTTACAATCCAAGGATGAATTTGTAGTTAGTTGGCAACATGAACTTTGCCACTTAATGACTTAACAAGCAAGTTTGCACATATGATTTATTCCAGGTGCATCTTTCTGCCACAAGGAACTAAGGACACACTTGGGCCACAAAAACTTTGAAAATGACACTTCGATTTTCATCGAAGGGCTTCGATTTTTGAACTCCACCTTTTTGGTGAACAAGAGGATAGTAGGGCACAATACTTACCATTTCAAGAAAAAACATTCAGTATGGTAAAAAGCAGCATGCATGTCCTTCTATAGATAAAAGAAACTAGAGTAACAAGGATTGGTATTGCAGGAAATAATCTAGAGATTTGCCTGCAGGCTCTGCACTGAAATATGTTTTATTAGTTAGGGTTTAGATAACCAATGAGGGGGTAGATATAGAAGAGCGGGAAACAGTCTAGAGAAGGGTACAAAAAAGAAGAAGAGATAGAGATAGAGAGAGCAAATTAGTTCAGAGTTCAGACTGAAAAACTGGTGGAGAGCGGGATGTTTCTAGATGTTGGCACAAAGGCATTTCGACATTTCTGATTGCAGCAATGGAGGTGTTTGGTTGTTTTGGATCTTTTTTTGTACTAAAAGTTATTTTCTAAGAAGGTATCATCTGTCCAATTTTTGGCGTTATTGGATTTTTCTGAATTTAATGTTAGTGTTGTTCTTCTCTGATTTCTGCTTTTCTGAAAGTTGAGTTACCACAAAAAAAGAGAAAGAAAAAGACGATCAAAGTAGACATGTTACAGAAGTCCTGCATTTGTGTTGACTATCACTATATCAGTGTCTGATGTGTGTGACATAGGTACGAGTACTTCATGTGAATGCTTGTAGTAACAGAGGTGTTTGGTTGTTTTGGATCTTTTTTTTGTACTAAATGTAACATTCTTAGGAGGTGTCATCTGTCCAATTTTTAGAGTTATTGGATTTTTCTGAATTTATTGTTAGTGTTATTCTTCTCTGTTTTCTGCTTTTATGAATCTTTAGTTACCACAAAAGAAAAGAGAAAGAAAAAGATGAACAAAGTAGACATGTTATGTAAGTCCTTCTGCCTGCATTTGTGTTGATCTATCAGTATATCAGTGTCTGCTGAGTGTGATGTTGGTATGATTACTTCATGTGAATTCTTGTCATTAAAAGTAGCAAGAATTGAGTGTACAGGTATTGACAGTTTGACACTCTCATGTGTTCATATGTACTCATCCTTCCATTATAACACTTCATATACATACCTCCTTCATCTCTTTGGATAAGAAACTATTATGAAAATATTACACATCTTATATCACTTTAGTTTCAGTTCATCCCCTTGATACTGTACCCAACACATTCAACCTCGTTAAAAAGCCAATATTGTCTTATTGGAATAAAAAGTGAACTGCTGTACAGTCATACTTATTAGTTCAGCTGCTTATGGAAACCTATGTTACATGAATTTGTCTACAGATGCATGCATACCTTCCAGTATGGGTGGGTACTCGCATCTTTTTTTGGGCCATTTTAGTGTACAACAACTCCTATTTTTTAGTTTATGTGGAAGAATTTAAGGAGGTATTACTGCCCATATTGCATTTGTTTTACACGGGTGCATAAAAAAGTAAATGAACGATCAATGCAGTATGGCTGAAAATCTTAAAATGAAAGTAGAACTATAGAAAGACAATGAAGTAACTGCCTCCAGCTACGGATAACTTGATTTTCAACCACCATGTGTGATGATAGAAACAAGATGTCAGCATTAGGTGGGTGGGAATCATATATTCATGTAATAAAAAAAATGATTGTGTTAGTAAACACAAGTTAGCCGTTGACAAAATACAGTGGACCTTAATTCTCGCTTGGGTTATTTAGCATTCTTTGAATCAAATATGGTCTTTGGTAAATGAAAATTATCCTTCTGTAGTTGTTAGAAACCGCTCTAGTGGTCTTAATGGAGTTGACTCAATATTAGAATCAAGACAACCGTCTTTCTATCAAATGTGCCTTAGTTTGTATTTGTTTAGAATATAACTAAATAATAAAAGTGTGGCCATTGACGGCTTAAGATTATAGATGAAATGGTTACACTTCAACATGGTATTAGAACCAGGCCCATTTCAATTCTTTGTTCACCAATGTTCCCCCATATTTTATCGTCCATGCTTCAGTTAACGAGGTCTGGGAGTGCGGGGAGTGTTAAGAATCCCCCATCAGATATGACATGAGTAATTGGTCTTCTTATATGATTTTGGGCAATCCTCTCCTCCGGAGCTTGCTTTTGGAGCTGAGTTAAGCCCAAAATCCATTTCTTTACCGTATTCAATTTGTTTTTGCAAGACTGACAAAATAATTGCTTGCTACTCATGCCGACTTTGACCGTAAGGAAAGCAAAAATTTCTGTGATAATGACATGTAATGTTGACAGACTGTACACGAAGGGCGCATCTATCAGCTGAAACTATTTTGTGGAAAGGAGTATCCGGATCAGCCACCTGGTGTAAGGTTCCAGTCCAGGATTAACATGAGCTGCGTAAATTATGAAACTGGTGTGGTAAGTACCACGTACTTTCTATCCGACTTTATTAGGTTTCATATTAACAAAGTACGCTTACGCGTGAGAAAGTTTCTCAGGTAGAGCCAAGTCATTTCCCCATGCTTGCTGACTGGAAGAGGGAAAACACAATGGAGGATATACTGATGCAGTTGAAAAAGGAAATGACGTCTCCCCAAAATCGAAAACTAGCTCAGCCTTCTGATGGTGAGTCTTTACTAGGTTGATCAATATAAATGAACTTCTAGTACTTCTCATTTTTATTATTATCTCTTGTTCTATATAATATTGCCTTGAGTTGAGCGTCTATTGGAAGCAATCTCTCTACCTTTGAGGTAGGGGTAAGGTCTGCATACACTCTACCATCTCCAGACTCCACTTTGTGGCTATATGGCTCCCTCAGTAATATCTCAATACGAGCAATTACAGTAATGTACCGCTTTGTTAGATCAAATAGCACGTTGAGAACAACAAAATTACGATATCAATCTGAATGAAGACTACTTTCTTTTGCCAGGCAATGAAGAGGGCCGGGTGGATCAAAAAGGCCTAGTTGTGAAATGCTGCATTATGTAAGTTTGATAAAATACTGAAAGATAATAATGTTTGTATATAACCTTAAAAAAATACGTAGACGATTCCATAGTATCGTAGCATGTATAACTATGTGTATGTTTTGTATTTCTTATTGAATCCTCCTTAAATTATGGGATGGATTGATGTTTAATAACCAATTATCCAACACTCTGAATAAGGCTAACTATAGTTTTCATATTTATGATTTGCTGAATTTTGGTCTAATTTGTTTGAGAATTACAAATGATTTTCCTCTTAGGTTATGGAAGAACAATTTTCATGTGATTTCAAGTAAACTTAGTCATAAGTTACGGGTCGTTTGGTTAGGTTCAAGTTATTTCGGGATAAGTTATCCTACTATGTATATGAGCTTAACTTATCTTATTACTATGGTTGAAATCTTTAAGGACTACATAATATCTCCAGTTAAACGCAGGATAATATAATTTTGCTTTTATTTCGGAATTTTCATACCTTATATCTCACATCAAATGACACGTAAGTATTTATATTGAGTTGTAGGAGTAACCACCTCCCCAACCCCACCTCACCCCCACCCAACCCAACAAATCAAAACGCAAATTGTATAACCTAAGGACCATTAAAAAGGGATAATGCTTCTTATCATTATTAATTTCATAATTAGATATCAGACTCGAGACGTTTAACTAAAGATCGAGTGTTTCTTAGTTTTATTCGAAAATGACATTTTTTAAAAATGGGTAATGACATAATGTATAGTTGTTTTCTTTGATAAAAGATAATCCATTTTGATACCACAAATATTTGACAACTAAGAGCTTTTAGATAATTTTTGTCAAAGTTGTGGCCTTAAGCAAAACCTAATATTAGGTATATATGATATATATTTTTGGCTTGTTTCAGATATTTCGATTCAATTCAACACTCAAATATACTTCAAATGAGCTTAAGTTTGAAACATATATCATAATAAGAAACAAATTTTAAATTTAGCCTCTTGTTATATGAGTGTCAGTAATATTAATTCTATACGTAAAATATCTATATTTTACGAAGAAACTATGGGTTCACATGTTCCAAATTTAGCACATGGATATATCCCTACAAGTATGAAACTATGTTTGATAGAGTCTCAAAAGTATGACTTTCTGACGTGAATTTAAATTAATTGAATTTTAAAAAAATATCGAATATCAAATGAAAAATCGAAAAAAGAGTCTTTACTTCTCAGCAACTAAGATTACCCCACCACACAGGGAACATATTTTTCTTTGTTATTGCTTATTAGAAGTTAGTTTCCTGTAAAGCTAAAGCCAAAACAAAGAAAAAAAATAAAAGTATAAATTCTTTATTTGTTAATAAAGCAAATAAATGTTTGTTATTGCTTGCTTTAACTTTCACGTCAAATAAATGTAGTTTTAGTTGCTTTTGTGGTTCGTTTGCTTCCACGTTTTCAAACCAAGTGCTTTTTATCGAACCAGAAAATAGTTGTCACGTTTCACTTTTCGAGAGTTAATTTAATTAATTTATAATAAAGTGGAATAATATTAAATTAATTTGATGTATTGAACGAATAATTTTGAATATCAAAAAATTTATATGGAAGTATTATAAATTTTAATTATTTTCATATTAATATGATGAAAATATATATTTTAAAGTACTGATCAAAGTTTATATTATTTAATTATCAAAGAAATAATTATTATGACAAGTATTTTAATACGGACGGAACAATATTTTGGATAGCTAACGAAGAGTCCATAATTAATAAAAACAATTGAAGAAGCATCCTTTTGTAATTATTATACCTTCTATAGTAATTTTTTTAAAAATGATAGGAGTAATTATAAATAATATAACTATATATACAATAAGTTAAATTAATAACAACAAAATGAGAAAAATAACTTACGACAACAAACTGAATATATACTATAAAAGTAAAATTACACACTCTGTATATATAATTAGATCCATGAAAATAAATGTAAAAGATCTTGTTACAATAAGTTTAAAAATATATTACAATATTATTTAAATACTTGTAACTACAATGTACGTAAGTTAAATTCAAAAGAACAATTTATATAGTTATTTTTGGGTCATTTGTGCATAGAGGTTTAAATCTATTTTCAATTTATTTTTAACAATAGTGTTAGTTAGGGACGTTTTGTTTATGATTCGATTTGAATAGATCTTTTTCTTCTTAAAAATCAAATCAAATCAAATCAATTGAATCGATTTCTTCTTAAAATATAACAAGCAACATAACCTAATCTTTTCTTTTTATTTATTTTGTCCATTTCTGAATTTAAATATGTGATATACACTACCAAGTATCTCATGACTATGGTCCAACATGACAGTATCAAATTAATTACTATCTTACAAGGGATATTATATAACTACTTCATTAACCTATGATCGAAATTTTAGAGATACACTTATACAATATTAAGGTCTTATTACCCCTGAACTTATTTTATTAATAATTTTCTATCCATTTTCGGCCTAGGTGACACTATCTTGTGAATTCAACATTGGTTGACTTTTCTTCAAGCTAGTGTCACGTAGGCCGAAAAGTGATAGAAAATTACTTATAAAATAAGTTCAGGGGATAATAGGACCTTAATATAGTATAAGCGTGTCTCTAAAATTTCGAGCATAGATTGATGAGATACTTGTGCATTTTCCCACTTTATAAAGAATATATATGTAGCTTTCAATTAGAAAATCCTATTCTATCGTCCAAGAACTTACAAATTTTCAAATTATAAAATTTCTTGTACTAATTTCTTTTTTTTTCCTGAGAATTGAAAAGTTATCCTTTCGATAGTTTCTTTTAATTTTATCCATATAACATAAATTTAAATAAATAAAATAATATATATTGAATCCGTTCTTACGCGGATTTCTGGTACTACGAAATAAACAAGAATGTAATGCTACAAATAAAAAATGTAAATACTTTATATTTTATATTATTTTTAAAAGTGCTATACACACATAGAGACACACATATAAAACAAAGTATCGAACACATGTTATATATTTTATAGAATAATGTTAAAAAAATATCAGTAAAGTTTTTTTAAAAAAAATTAATATAAGAAAGGGAGAAACAGGTAATAAAGAGGTGAAAACAAAATTAAATTTATTTTTATAAAGAGAGATTCTAAATTCCAGATGTGAAAAAGAGAAAAGACAGTAATTGCATTGTTGGTCCTACTTTAGAATTTCCAGAACAGCAAAGAGAAAATGGTCAATATATAAATTATTATAGTAAGGACTTTGTTTTTAAAATTTTCGATTATCAGAGACGAAGCTAAAATTTTAAATTTATAGATATTAATATTTTTAAAAATGCAGGTACTAATTGGATGCTTGATAAAACTATTAGTATATATTAAGCGAATTCTTATATACATAGAATTTGATCTAAAATTACTAATTTTTTTTACTGAATTTATGTTTTTTTTTATTTCGCAATAGTTTTATAAGAATGATATTTTCCTTGAACTTTATTAATAATTACTAATAAAAAAGATCGAGCTAAAAGTAACTACTTTTTACTTAATAAGACTTTATCATTATTTTGAATTAGGTAAACACAAGGCCAAAATATAAGTATAGAATGTGTGACCCATTATTGTAGCTTGTGTTTGTTAGCCACCTGTTAGTTTTGATCAATCATTCGAAATTCGAAATTCGAAATTTATTAAATTAATTATAATTAATTAGAATTTACGTAAATATATTAGTTGAACCATCTCTATTAACGAACCATTTCAATAATATGGATACTGTCGTGCTACAAAGCCACACTAACAAATAGGTAAAACACTCATATTTCTCGTTATATATTTTATTCATTGATAGAATTTTAAAATTTTCATTAAAGAGGTAATTTTTCGTTATCACCATTTGAATATAATAAATATAACATTCTGAAAAATATTATAGAGAAATAACTTTAATTAATGATAAGAGTAAATTATGAACTATTGATTATATAAAATGAACAAATATTGCTGGATATCCCAAAATAATACAACTATCAACTATTATTAGACGAAGAAAATAAATCTCTCAATATAAAAATAAAATTTGCCCAAAAAAATTATTAAATTTCCAAAAATCCGTACCCGATATCCTAGATTGGCCTTGAAAGGAAGTAGTGATAATTAATTATATATATATATATAGTATACTTCTCCAAGTTGTATAATACACATCAACTTCTATATATACTTGCTTTATTCCTTCCATATTCTTATTGCTCTCTTCTATATCTTCTTTTCTCTATTCATTATTATATTCTTAAAATAACCAAACTTTTAAATATGGCTTCCGCAAACAACATTCACCAAGAAGGTATTCAAATTTTTTTAAAAATAATTTTCATATTATTCGAGATCGATTAATTTGATGAGCTATAGTTCGTTTAATTATAATTTTATATGCAGGAGTTACGAAGATCGAACCAACTCCTCTACAGAAACATGTTATGTTCTTCGATATCAATAACGACGGAATAATTTACCCTTGGGAAACTTATCAAGGTATTTTTATTTTTTCTATATCTATCGAATGAAGAATCTATTTGAATATTCTCTGTATGAAAATTATACTGTGTATATAGATCGAACTACTTTTTTAATGATTTGCATTGCTCATGAATAAGTGGAGAGAAGAGTCCCAATTTTTTGTTAGCCTCAAAGGAATTCATGACAATAAAAATTTGTGGTAAATAATTGAAGAAAATATTTGTGGTGGAAAATTGGAGTTTCAAGTTGTTTAGAATAATGAAAATACTTAGGTTTTTATAATTAGTTATTATTACGGAATTATAGTGTTATTAGAGTACTTTTTTTTCCCATTAGGTGGCAAAATCATCCTATAAAATCATATTTTGCCTAATTTATTTAGGTTTAGGCGGGTTAATAATCTGCTTATTTTATCTCCTTAGATTAAACATGGTTGATACGTAACTCAAAATTAACTTACTAGAAATTTGTTTAAATATTTTTAAAAGATATTTATCATATAGTTATTATATAAGGAATTTTTTTTATTAGGTACTCGAATAAATTATATAAAATCAAATTTTGATTATAAAAGGATAAGAATAAAGCTGATTAAAACCATTTTTTTTCGTTCATTCTAATCCAATTCACTTCCTGTCAAGTAACATGTAAGTGAGTAAATAACTCGTTTTTTATTATCTTAATAGATTTTGATATTTTCTAATCCATCCCAACCTATTAATTTAACACTACAAAAATTTTTGTTTCAATTTAATGTATATGTGGTCCTGTCCACTTTTTTTTTTTTTAAATAATTGTATTATTGAATACATATAAATAAAAATCAATAGTAATATGTGGACTTGAATTTAGTAAATCCTAATAATATTTACATCCACTTTAATTTATAGCACCCACTGTGTACCATTTAATAACAAGTGAAATATCACCCTTTAATTTTTTTAATTTTTTTTTATCATTTTTCAGGTTTTCGAAAAATTGGAAGTAATATTTTTCTTTCCATTTTTGCCTCCTTTTTCATTAATTTTGGCCTCAGCCGAAAAACTCGACCGGTAAGTCTCTCTTTATTTATGTATATCGTTATCGTTAAAGATTATTTTTAATATAGTATCTCCATGATTCGTAAATTTGAATATAAACAATTTATTATTTCTTATTCCTATTATTTAATAAGTGCTTCTTATTTTGAAAATCGTAACAGAAATAAAAACAATTAAAAATATTATATTGAAAGACTAAAGTAGGTAATATGACGTATAATAGAAGTCATGAAATAGTTTTTTGCATGAATAAGTGTTTTATTTATTTATTTATTTTTGTTGGGGGAAGGGGTGTAAATAGAAAAGAAGTAAAGGAAAAGACAATAGCTTTTTGATAATCACAATATATTCATCTGAATTTATTATTTTTAACGTGAAATATATTTGAATTTATATCAAAACTCTTAAGGTCAGTTGAATCCTTCGTCAAATTGAAAATCTAAATTTACCTTTTACTCTACTCTTTGGATTAAAAATGCACTTCATAACAAGTGTTGAGTAAGTAATATATTTGTGGATTTTGGTCAAATTTAATAGATTTATTTTAAATAATATATTCATGTTATTAAATTTATTTAATATATACACACATTAAATATTAAATATAGATTCAATTATTATTACTTAAAATTATTCTTATAAAATTCTGAACCCAGTGAATTAAAATTCTAATTTTCTCATTTCATATCCTCGTTTCATCCATAATTGTTTGTCAGGATAAGATCAAGCACTCTCTCAAGGAAAATTTAATACAAGGTGTAATTTGACTAATATAACTCTACTATATCAAGAGTATCAAAAGTCTACATAACTTTTCAATTGAACAAAATGGAATAATTATTAAGGGTAGAATTGAAAAAAAAAATTATTTAAATTGACAATTAATTTTAAATATTTATTTTTAATATACCTGTTAAACAATTGTGAACGAAGAGAATATTATTATTCGCTAAAATGTTTTTGTAGAAGTGGTTTGCATGGTTAGAAATGGGCCCTAATGTTGCCAAAGTGGAGCAATAGTATAACCAACTTTTATAGAAGTATGGTATTTCAAACTTATAGAAGAAAAAAAAATAGATGCTTAGTATAAAAATGACACGAACAAATCAAGAAATGATTTTATCGAGATCTCTTTTATTTAAATGAATTTATTCTCCTACTTTTATCTCCGAGTTGTGCGCAATTATCCAAAGTTACGTTCACACTTATATTATGTGCCAAAATTAAATTATATAAAATACTTAACATGTCATTAGAAAAAGCTTATCTTGCATGCATGTGTTTGATCAATCAAGTCATTATTTAATTCATTTGAAGTTTAATTGTACTATGTTTTCTAATGTTAGATAAAGCTTCTCCCTTGCTTCAAAGGAATTTTAATTTTTTTCATATTCGATCAGTTAAAAAATAATTAAATAATTTTTTAAAAAAACATTACACAACTATCATTCTACATTAATTACGTCATAGTTTATTTTTATTCAATACATATCATCTTCACTCCACTCCCACTCCTGTAGCTCCAATCCACACCGTACCGATCCACAATCCCTCCACGTCTCATATATCTATCTAAATTATATACAAAAGCACTTAAAATAACATTTTTTAAGTAAATGATATACAAAATGTTACTAGATGATATGTTTAAGAATACAAATTTTAAAACTAGTGCGTTTTTTTTAACGGTATAATATTGAATAATAATACAGGGAAAAGGGCCTTCTTTACTCTTTCCTATTGAAGTGAAAAACATCAAACTTGCCAAACACACCAGTGACAGTGGGGTCTACGATAGTGAAGGAAGGTAAACACATTCCTCGGAATAATGAATCCGTCCCTCTATTTTTGTTCTTTTTAAATATATCAAATTAAAATTATTTATTGCGTTCAGGATTTGAACCTATGACTTTAGCTAATTAAGTCACAAAACCTTCTATATTATATTATACATTTTAATTAATAATGTTAAGAAAAATAGAACTCAAAATTGTTTTGTTTTTTTTTCATTTTGAAGATTTGTTCAAGAAAAATTTGAAGAGATATTCAGCAAACATGCACGTTCAAATGGAAATGCATTAACAGCCCAAGAATTGGATGATATGCTTAAGGCAAACAAGCAACCAAATGACTCTAAGGGATAGTAAGACTTCTTCTGTTTTTATTTTCGTTTGAAAAAAGATTCATTTTTTTTTAAAAGGAAAAAGGCTTAAATATGTCATAAAACGTTAAAGAAAAGGTTCATCTATTTCATCTGTTAAAAAATTGACTCATTTATGTTAATTTTCAGTTAATAAATAATGACATAGATGAGTGTTGTCTTAAACAATTTGTATCTTAGTTTTTTGAATTTCATATCTAAATTATCAAGTGAATATCATCAAAGGTTTATCGATATCATCCTCAACTATCAGTTGTTCACCCTTTTTACTTGAACAAACACCCTCGTTCGTGTAGAAAAAGTAAACAACTCATATTTTGATGTTGATTTCGATAAACATTTGATGATAATTCAAGTAGAAAACTCACAGACCCCCCCCCCCTCTTTTTTTTTTTTGGCTTCATGTTAAGCAAGAAACTTATATACTAATAAGGTGATTTAATATTATGCAGTGTTGCTGCTCAGTCAGAGTGGAAGATCTTATATTTTCTTTGCAAAGATGAGCATGGATTATTGAAAAAAGAAATAATTAGGGGTGTTTATGATGGTAGCTTATTTGAACAAATGGCCAAGGAGCAACAAGCCAAGAAGAAAAAGTAATTAATTAATTTCAAATTATAGCTAATTCATTTAATTTCTCAATTATTTTGAACAGGATCTTTTTTTTAAGTAGTTTTGTTTTTATTATCAGATTCATATCAAGTTCAAAAAAATGGATTGAATCCTAGCCACTATGTATAGTAAGAACATTTGTATGTATGGAGTGATATCTTGTGGATTTTTTCTCTTATTTGTAATTTGTAAAGTATTATTTCTTTATACTGATGATTAATGGGGTGATTTAATTTTTTTCTCTTATTATATGACACTTTAATTATTTTTTGTTTGATGAAACTTTCATTTTTCCTTGTTTTATTTGTGACCTTCCTAATATGTAGAAGGTGGAGGTGGTAGAATTAATCCATGAAAATGTAATTTCATCTAATTCGTTTAAGTTTTAATTGATTATTGATAGTAAAATTATATGTATCCTGTGTTTGATTTGAAATTTTGACATGAAATTATTAATTAGTGAGATAATATATAATTAATTCACAGTATAAAAAAAATATGGAAGGAATATTGTATTGTTAATGGGTGAAGAATTTTGCTACAAAATTCTATATTGAAATGGGGTTTCGGTTCAAATATATCGTTCGGGTAACTAGTTTATTAATATTAACAAAAGATATATACGTATATGTATATATTTTATGTGATTTGAAATGTTATTGGGCTACTGAGAGCAAAATTGGAATTGGGCTGTTTAGTGTAATACGTGCCAAATTTCCTAAAAATCGATCTGCAAGTATGAGCCATTTTATTTATCATATTTTAAAAGAAAATATTATATCCTTGAAATATATTTCTATAATATTTTAAATCCAAAATTGGTAGTTGATAATTCTCTCTCTTTGAAAGTAGGAAAAACTACATAATTAGACATACTTTACTACTATATATACAATTACTATTTATATTTTAAAAATATTGCGCATCTTACCACTAATTAAGAACTTTCTACCATATTTTGAGGAAAATACACTTAGATATATTTATTTTGTTATCAGATACACAAAAACAGAGAGAAAGTCACACTAGATATACACTAGATACATGTATTCGTATATATCTGGTTGATGTGATTCACGTGTATTTAAAATACCACGAGAGAATGCCGATGTATGTGAGGGCATTTGTTATGTATCCAAATTAAAGACAAATTTTCATTTTGGAGTATGTAATCATGTATGTAAGAAGTCTTGATTAAGTTACATGATCTCACACGAAATCAAACCTTTGTACTTTGATCCAATCAATCAAAAAAGAAATTTCCCTAACATTTGTATCTTTTTCCAATATCTTAACAGAAAAAAAAATAACTAGTACTAGTACCATTTATTCATCAGAGCGTATAGTATATAGTTGTTTATGTACCTACCAACTGATAATCTTGAACCATATTATTGTAATTGCCTAAGTCATTTGCAGCCACTCAAAGTTGTCGGCATAATTTATTTAGATACCTTAACTAATTCTTGTGCCAATTGAACACTTTATTTGTTCAAAAGTCATTCCTATTAGACACAAAATGCTGACATAGCAAAAACAATTCACTTTCCTTGAACGCGTTAATTTATTAAAAATAATATTTTTCCTTTTTTTCTTCTTAATTTATACCCCTAAGTTAATTTTTAAAAATAATTAACAAAAAAAAGGACAATTCTTCTTCTTCCCTATTTCTATCCACCCCACCCCATCCCCACCCCCATACCCATGCACCAGTGGTTATCTTCTTCCCCCACCATTCTAATGATTTCAAAATTCTTAGCATTTTGTTTCGTTCTTTTTCTTTTTTTTTGTAAAAAAAATCTGCTAATTTAATATGTGAGAAAAAGAAAAATTCGAACATTGGAGTTAAAAATTGATCGATATTCGTTCATCTCTATTTTGATCACTCCGATTGAACAAACATCGCCAATCATTAATTTATTAAAGATGATATTAAAAAATTCAACATACCTTCAAATTTTCTTGGTCATGAATCTTAAAAACAATTTATTGACGTTTATTTATTTTCACAAAAATCTCAAAACGAATGGAGAATAACAGATAGGAGAATAAATTTGAAACGGAGATTTTTATTTTTGTTATCTCCGTTATCAATGCTGAAATTAATGGTGGCTGCCGGGTTTCACAGGGTAGAGGAAGAAGAAAGGTCAAACAGTTAGGTGGGGGTGGGGGAGATTTTCTTTTTAAATATTTTAGTGATTAATAAATAAAGGCTGGAAATTATTTTTCATTTTTTTAAATTGAAAAATTATATTTTATTGCTAGAGTGGGTCCATGTGCCAAGTGTCATAATTTTATTTGTCGTTGTTTTAAGATAATGCGCGTGAACTACACGCAAAATATTTTTTAAGAAAAATTTCATTCTATGTTCAATAGATATATATTCTTTAATATTAAAGTGTCTAATAGGTAATAGTCCTAGTTAAAGTGTCTAAGTGAATTATGCAAACAACTTTAGGGGCTGTCGATGACTTAAGCCTATTATAATCATATTAGAAAGATAAAGTACATGTCACATGCATTTATACTCGCCAAGAAATTGGGCAAACTTAATATATCAAAGAACTAAAAGAAGAAAGGAAAAAAAAACTTTATTGAAGAAGGTGTCACTTGAACAATGTGGCATATATGTAATTAAGATAACTAGTTAGTTAAGAGCTAGTTAAGAGTTAGTTATAGTTGTTATATGTATTAGTTATTGTATACATACACTGATGTAAATAGGCATGTATTACACATTCATATACTAATATACAACTCTGTTCTGGATTCTTCTTCGTCTGCATCTTCATCTCTTCTTCTTCCTCTCTTTTTCTTCTTCTTCTTCATGTTGTTCCTATTCTGATTAACTGCACATGGTATCAGAGCAATTGCAGTAGTTAGGATCAAAATTGTTTAAACACAGTCTGAAAGGTTGAAGCAACAATGGCAGCTGTTGATAATGAATTACCAGAAGAACTGAGTCATAATCACCCATTGTTCTTGAACAACATCGATAATTCAGGTGTTATGCTAGTCTCGATTCAGCAATCTGGATCTGAGAACTTTTTGGTGTGGAGCAGAGCTATGAGAATAGCCATTTTGGGAAGAAATAAGCTATGATTCATTGATGGATCTTGCAAGAAAGAAGCATATGGAGAAAACTTGAAGAACTTGTGGGAACGATGTAATGCCATTGTTCTGTCTTGGATAATGAACTGTGTATCAAAAGAATTACTCAGTGGGATTGTTTACTCAACAAATGCAGCAGAAGTGTGGAAAGAATTGAGTGAAAGGTATGATAAAGTAGATGGAAGTCGAATCTATCAATTACACAAAGAAATTGCAACTATCAGTCAAGGTATGAATACAATTTCAGTGTATTTTTCTAGATTGAGAGAACTATGGGTAGAGTATGATAGTTTGGTTCCTATAGCTAGTTGTGGTTGTCCTGGTTCAAGAGATCTCAGTGTGTTTATGCATAATCAAAAATTGTTGCAGTTTCTCATGGGTCTTAATGAGTCATATGATCAAGCAAGAGGCCAGATTCTTATGATGATGCCTCTTCCTTCTCTTAGCAAGGCATATTCCATGTTGACTGAGAGAGAGAGTCAGCCTAGGATTACACAATCTGTTAGTAGTGAACAAGTAGAATCGCATGCAATGTTTACTGCTCGAAGTCAATCTATACCTAAACATAAAAATCCTAATGTTCCTAGCTATGATTCAAGTGTGTATTGTGACTATTGTAATAGAACAGGACATACTCGAGCTGTATGTTTTCAACTTCATGGATGTCCTCCTAGTCTTGAAAAAAGGAAGAAAGGATCATCATATGGTAGTGGGAGAAATCATAATGATAAAAGACAACTTCATACAGCTCATAATGCTGTTAGTAATGATCAAGAAGAGTTTAGTTCTAATAGAGAAGAAAGTTCAAGCAACAATGCTTATAATCAAAGCTGCAATGGAGGAGTAAATCATAATGACTATAATAGAGGATTTAGTGTCATTCAGGATCAATACAATCAGATTCTACAAATGCTTGGACATACAAATGCTAAGGGAGGAACAGAAGGGTCAGGCTCACATCTAACAGTGCTGCAAATGCAAATATGGTCCAAGATTATGCATCTTCAACAGGTAATGATATTGCACTTATAGTTGGGGATAAACAACAGGGGTGGATCATAGATTCAGGTGCTACTAATCATATGACATCTTTGCCTACTGTACTTGATTACCAACAACAAGTTTTATCAGATAAGCCTAGAAGAGTGTATTTGCCAGATGGAGATAATATGAAGGTTACTCATACAGGATCTTGTCATCTGACTTCATAAGACAAAATATAAAATGTTCTGTTAATTCCTGATTTCAAGTTTAATCTGTTGTCAGTCTCAAAACTTACAAGAGATCTAAACTGTGTTGTCTCCTTCTTTCCTGACTTTGTTATATTTCAGGACCTCTACAATGGGCAGGTGAGGGGGATTGGTAGAGAAAGTGCAGGTCTCTATCATTTACCTATTCACAAGGTCAGTAGAGGCAAACATGAGCAATGTTTCACAGCAGAAGAGAATAAAGAAACACAAACACAAAGTCTTCCATCCATACCTTCATCTATATCTGATTCAAGAATTCTACTATGGTATCAAAGGCTAGGCCACACCTCATCTAGGGTCTGAACATAAGTACTTCACTTTCCTGTCACTCAGTGTTCCAAGGAAGTACACTCTCGTACAATTTGTCCACTAGCTAAACAACATAGACTACCATTTGTTCATAGTACTTCAATGTCTACTCAGGTTTTTCAGCTGTTACATATTGATGTATGGGGGCAATTTAATACTGCTACATATGATGGGAATAGATTCTTTATAACAATTGTTGATGACTGTACAAGAATGTTATGGCTCTTTCTAATCAAGTTGAAAAGTGATGTTTGTGTTGTGCTACAAAACTTCTTTGTGCTAGTTCAAACACAGTTTCAGTCCAAAGTTCAGATCATTAGAACTGATAATGGTTCAGAATTTGTAAATGCTGAGTGTAACAAGCTTTTTGTCAGTAGAGGGATCATTCACCAAAGAACTTGTATACATACTCCTCAGCAGAATGGCATAGCTGAAAGAAAATATAAACATATCTTGGAGATAGCTAGAGCAATGATGTTTCAAGGTCACATTCCAATCAAATTTTGGGGGCATTGTATACTGAGTGCCGCATATATTATAAATAGGCTTCCTACACCAGTGTTACAAGGTAAATCACCTTATGAAATGTTCCACAAGAAATAACCTTCACTTCAACATTTAAGAGTATTATGTTGCTTGTGTTTTGTCAAGAATATGTATATTCAGGATAAGTTTCAACCAAGAAGTGTAGCTGCTGTTCATATGGGTTAATAGTGAAAATACAGAAGGATATATACTTTATGATCTGAAGAACAAGTATTTCTTTCTTAGCAGAGATGTCTTGTTCAGAGAATCAACATTTCCTTTTGCAATACCAACCTCTACAGCTTGGCAACTATTTCCTACTACTTTCTCATCAGACATTGCTTCTGATCCTACACAGTTACCTCTAAATAAGGTTGACACTGGTACATCCACAGTAGATGGTTCCATTCCTGAACAAAGAAGGTCCACAAGAAGTAGTAGAGCTCCTTTATGGATGAAAGATTATGTAGCTGCTGCAAGTCTCAAGTCTAGTAATAAGCCAACATACTCTATTGACAAATATGTTGCCTATGATCATCTACATACATCATATCAGGCATTCTTATCTAATTTTGGTAATGATATTGAACCATCAACATTTGAGGAAGCATGTTCTGATCAGAGATGGGTGGATGCTATGAAATCTGAAATTTCAGCCTTGGATGCTAACAACACTTGGACTGTTGTTCCATTACCACCAGGCAAGAAGGCTATTGGGTGCAAATGGGTGTTTAAAATCAGGTATTTAGCCTCAGGAGAAATAGATAGATTTAAAGCTCGATTAGTTGTAAAAGGTTTCAATCAAAGAGAAGGAATTGATTATCAAGAAACCTTCTCTCCAGTAGTTAAGATGATTACTATCAGAAGTGTATTAGCACTTGCTGCTGCTGAGAAATGGCATGTTCATCAAATGGATGTTTCAAATGCATTTCTGCAAGGTGATCAGTTAGAAGAAGTTTACATGGCTCTTCCTCAAGGCTTTTAATCTCCCAAGGATTTTAATGTGCAGGGAGAGAAACCAGTATGTAAGCTCATTAAATCCTTGTATGGTTTGAAACAGGCACCTAGACAGTGGAATGTAAAGCTTACTGAGGCACTACTCAATCTTGGCTTTGTACAAAGTCATCTAGATTACTCATTGTTTATAAAAAGGATTGACAAATCTTTGGTGGTAATATTAGTATATGTAGATGATATGATGATTACTAGAAATGATCTGAGTTTGATAAAGGATACAAAAGGAATACTGCTGAATACTTTCAAGATGAAAGATTTAGGAGATCTAAGGTACTTCCTTGGGATTGAATTTGCCAGATCACATTTGTGATGCATCAAAGAAAATATGCCTTAGAAATAATTTCTGAAGTAGGACTTGGTGCTGCGAAGCCAGTTTCTACACCACTGGATCCATATGTTAGATTAACAACTAAGGAATATGATGATATGAATGGAAAAAGAGAAGAAAACAAGCTACTAGAAGATGCAATTATATACAGAAGACTAGTAGGCAAGTTATTGTATCTTAATGTTACAAGACCAGATATTGCATTTGCTACTCAAACACTGAGTCAATTTCTTCATCAACCAAAGCAATCTCATTTTAATGTTGCACTCAGAATTGTGAGATACATAAAGAGTCAAGCAGGACAAGGAGTATTGTTATCTAGCAAAAGCTCCAAACAGTTTAAGGTTTATTGTGATGCAGATTGGGGAGCTTATTTACACACAAGAAGGTCAGTTTCAGGCTTTATGGTAAAGATAAATCAAAGAAACAGGCCACAGTATCTAGAAGCTCAGCTGAAGCTGAGTATAGATGTATGGACAATTCAATAGCTGAGATTACATGGATAGTTAAGTTGTTTGAAGAACTTGGAGCTAAGATTCAAACTCCAGTCAGTGTTTACAGTGACAGTAAGTTAGCAATACAAATTGCTGTCAATCCAGTTTTACATGAAAGAACAAAACATATTGAGTTGGATTGTCATTGCATACGTGAGAAAATTCAACAAGGATTAGTTGAAACAAAGTATCTACATACAAAGGAACAAGAAGTTGATATGTTAACTAAAGGTTTAGGAAAATCTCAACATGAATATTTGTTATCCAAGTTTGGTGTAATGAACTTGTTCATACCTCCAAACTTGAGGGGAAGTATTGAAGAAGGTGTCACTTGAACAATGTGGCATATATGTAATTAAGATAACTAGTTAAGAGTTAGTTATAGTTGTTATAAATATTAGTTATTGTATATATACACTGATGTAATTAGGCATGTATTACACATTCATATACTAATATACAACTCTGTTCTGGATTCTTCTTCGTCTGCATCTTCATCTCTTCTTCTTCTTCTTCTTCTTCTTCATGCTGTTCCTATTCTGATTAACTGCACAAACTTACAAATTATCTTTCTGTTAGACTCGAGTTTAATATTTATTCAAATATTACTCAATCTTATAATAAAAAATTAGATCATCGTATAGGATGTATACGTCTACTTATGCATATTCAATATGTAACATACATTTCAATTGAAACAAAGTTAAAAAGCGCGCGCGTATATATATATATATATATACGCGTAAGAAACAAATTTCAAAGAAGTTATGTGGCTAGAGACCAATTCAAAGACAATGTACGAAACTATATATGGAGAAAAACACAAAACTATGTGGCCATGTGCATGAAATAAAAAGACAAATATCCAAAGCTCAAAAATTTAAGTAATGAAAAGACATGATAGATAAAGACCATTATTTTCTAGTGATACTCTAGCTCAGCCCATATATGTATGTTACACCTATGAGAAAAATTGACAAATTTAAATGTAAATGTCATAATCCAAACTCATGTTATGTATTTTCATATTTAGCTCAAAATAAAAATCAAAACTTTCATGTAAAGTTTTGTTCAATAATCTTATATATTACTTGCACTTCTCTTCATTTTTTGATGTGAAAATTGTCTAAAAGTGTTATAAATGTTCCTTTTTTGGAAGTGTGATAAACTTTTTTTTGGTGTGATTTTTAATAAAAATATGTACTTATTTTTTTTGTGATTTTAAATATATCAAATATAAAAACACTTAAAAAGATAATTAATAACATAATAAAAAATATAATCTTTTACTTCGATGGAGTAATCAATTATTACACTCTTGAATCTATATACTTAAGTAGCACACTAGAATTGCTAGAGTGATAAAGAAATGTTAGCATTATCAATAATAAATAAATATTATCATTTATTTATGATATGAATATGAATATAACAATTTTTTTAATGTTCAAAATCATTATCAGTAATAAATAAATAAATTCAAAAGAAATAGACAAATCACCCCCAACCCCAATGACAAAGTAAAAAAAGAGAGCAAGTTTCGTGTTTTAAGGGAGTTAATATAATATATAGTCAAGTCAAATATTATGCATAGAAAAATTAAAGTGAATCCCAATGGACATAATTTGGTCATCAATCAATTCAAACTCTCATGTACCTTTTTCGATCTTTTTATACGAGAGATAAAAGATAATAATCTCGAAATAGAATATATAGCTATTTTTTAGTTATGTATTAGTTAACTAATATTAGTTAGTTTTAAAATTATTTATCTTACATTTGTACTATAATAATAACATAAGTTATCTCATATCTTAATTCATAATTCTGTTCTACTCGTAAGGAGCAAAGCCAAATAGGATCAATGAGATTTATCAAAACTCATTTGGACAGAAAATTATATTATTAAATATCGATAAATTACTTTTTATATATTTATAGTGGATATTAAACCTTTTCTTAGTTACTTTACATACTTAATTTTTCGTTTTTTAAAATTTCTTATTGAAAATCATGACTCTATACTACTTTAGAGTAATAAATTAATTTTTCCACCAATTGAAGCAACCATGGAAAGTATTTACTATATGATAATAAGATATATGAACTAATTAATTAATTGGTTATGTGTCGTTACCTTTGCAATTATTTATCAATCAACATAAACAAAGAATAAAGAATGTACCTTTATTCTTTTTCCTCAATTGCTCCAAATAAATTAAACAAGAGACAACCTTAGTTGGGAATTATTGTCTGCCTTTTCTTATGATAATAATATAATTTGATGAAATGGACTCAATCAATCAAATTAATTAGTGGGAGTGTAAGTTCATGGGATTTGATCACAATTTCTTAAAATGTTAGATAAAGAAAAGAAAGTTATTATAGGAATAATACTATGAATCACTCCAAGAAAACTATGAAATCGTGAGGCAAATTTTGTATCTAAACAATAAAAAAAATTGTATTAATTCATTTAGCTATGAATAAGCGATGAATTATTAACAAATTTATTTAGTTAGCTACTCTATTTAACTAATTCAGACTCGCGCGAGAAGATCGTGTTGAGAATATAATTAAATAATTTATTTAATTATATTCACAACAAAATTGAATTCATATGCATATAGTTAAAATTCATGTAAAAATGAATAAACTGTAATAATATAATATGTGTTTAAAGTTTAGTCATGAATTACGATATTTTTTTATTTTTTAACTCCTCTCGAGGAGCTCTTATCTTTGCTTTTTTGGTGATTCAAATTTAGAATTTTAATTATTGGAAGTGAGGAGTGTTTATCGTCTAAGCAACACGTTGTTGTCAAATATGAAGATTAAACTAGCTAGTTGAAGTTTTTTTTTGTGTACTTTTTTTATTTCCGTTTAAATATTTGAAACTTATTTTAGCACTCGACTAATTTATATTCAAACAAAAAAGTTTTATTTTGAACTAGGATAAAACTACTTTTTATCTAAGATAATTCAATTTTTTTGATATTGAATCTGAGACATAGGAATAAAGGAATTATAAGTACTGCTTATTTTCCTTTGCTAATGAATTAATCCCATATTTTAAGTTTTTTTTTTTAAAAAAAAAGAATTCTAATTTCATATTTTAAGAGAAATTACCTAGATATGCTTTGGATAATACAATAGTATTAAAAAAAATTTCAACCGATAATATAATATAATTTAAACTCCTATATATAGAGTAAAACATTGACAAAATCATATTTTCTTTTTGTTATAAAATATCATATGTAGCTACCAAATAACTCACTAATATAAGTCAAGAGTTGAAATAGATTAAACACCATTTTTTTGGTTGAATGTCCTAATCATTATCTTATGTGAAAATTAAGTGTCAACTAATTATTGTACAATGGATAAACATTTGGGAATATATGTTAATCTCAACTAGATTACATGTGATACTCTTCAATCATAATATTTAAGATTTTTTTTAAAACAATTTAAGTGCATAATGACCATTCAAATTAGGAGAATTAAGACCAAATAAGCCATTTTGGAAAATAAATATTTATTACTAATTAAGGTGATAATTTTAAATAGTAGAAATTACATGAATAGAACATATAGCTAGTGTAAGAAAGATTTCAATTAATTAACACATGCCATTAAATTATTAAGTCTTTAATGTGTCCTATAGTTCCTAAGATCCCTAGCCAATGCCCCTCTTTTATTACTAGTCTTTGAAATCAATTTATGGTCCTTCATGAAAGCTCTATTATTTTTCTCTTCTTTTTTTTTTAAGGTTCGATATTTACATTAGAGTCAGATCATATTCGTAGTTACACATCATTGTAGGGCTTATTTTTGGGGCGATGCTTCCAACTAGATCTTTTCCATTCTGAAAACTTGAATCTGAAACTTGCGATTAAGAATATAAGAATCTCAATCATTTCATAGTAACTACATTAGTTGTATGTACGTATCTTAGCACAAGCATTTTGATATAAAATATTTATCTCATGCGTGATATGTGTATTTGTGTGAAAAGAAATTTATTTTTTTGACGGTCTAAACCAAAATAAAGGGGCAATCTAATACATTAATTTATCGCGATGAATGATTCGGAAAAGAATAAACCACAACTGGCTATTAAATATGTGATCTCCATATCAGACGACAACAATTTTTTCAGTTATGTCAACGCTCTTATTCTTAGAATTTATTTGTAGGTGTGCAAAAATTAAATTCTTATTTGTACTCTATTTGTCTTAAATTATTTTATGATTTTTAAATATTATTTTTTCAAAATGAGTACAAAAGAACGCTAACATATAATTTAAGCCAAATAAATTTAAAAAATTAGTTAACGACCTAAACATACAAATTTTTTTTAATAAAATCCTCTGAAAATCATAGTTCTTTTTCTTTTAGGAGTAACTTTATTTTGAAGATAATATCTAAAAGAAATCAATATTCCCAAACCGATAGTGTGTTACAATTTTTTTTTCCCTTCATCTTTAATTAATTTCAATATTGAATCTTGAATTAGGTCATTTTTACTGTTAGTTTGTACATTTAATATCAAGTTATTATGCATTTTCTCCCATTATATAATATTTTTGTCTTTTAATATTATGAGGGCGAACATAAACATAACTTCAAAAAATAAAATTGATTTTTATAACTAAAAAGTCGTGTTTTTATGGTAACTTCATCAATATAAATTTCTGACAAAGTTCTATTAAAAATGATTTTCAATAAAGATCAAAAGAGCTTGTTACTATAAAAACGGGTTTCTTACAAATATTTTTATTAATGCCAATTTCTAATGAAATTCTATTGAAAATAGTTTTCAATAATGATTTAGGAGATTTACTACTAGAAACATAAGGCTTTTTTTTTATATATATATAGATATCTTGTTTTAATATTAAATTCCGGTTAAAAATATACTTAAAAATGGTTTTCAAGAGCCAATAATAATTAGTGCAACTTTCACATATAACAAATACAAAATTTATATTTCTATGTTATAGCAAAATTTACATAATTGCGCTCCATAGCAAACATATATATGTATAATTCGTTATACATATACAATTGAAGCGAATTGTATAAAATGAATTGCATAAAACGAGAAAGAGAGAAATTATATAAAATTTGAATTTGTATAAAACGAGAAAGAGAGAAAGGAAAATGAGACTTCGGCAGGAAAAATTTGTATTGCATAATTATAAGTGTATAGGATGATTATATACAATTTGAATTTGTATAAAATGAGAAAGAGAGAAAGATAAAGAGACTTAGGCAGAGAATGTATAATTGAATTGAATTGTATAAAACGAGAAAGAGATAAAGGCAA